CTCGTTCGGTTGCAAGAACTGTCCCAATGCCAAGAAAGTCCAGGGGGGCACACCAATATATGGAGGACTTCGATAGTCATTTTGGTGTCCTGGCAAGTGCCATTGCTTCGTCTCTTGGGCAGCAAGAGAGCCCTGCCCCTTCCTCCTCCAGTCTGAACAGTATGAACGATATCAATCTGGAGATGATTGACAACCGTCTTGGGGGTGTTGACAATGGCTTGGAAGATGTCAACGTTCGACTGGAGGCGGTTAAAAATGATATGAAGAATGAGCTGAACGATGTCAAGAAGGAGTTCAGCGAGTTGAAGGAGGCGGTAATAGTTAACTATGCTTTCATGAATTTAAAATTTGAGCTAACCGAATCAAACATAGATGATGACGATGTTTGATTACATCAAAACATCAGTGGCCAAGGTAATATCAATTGTGATATATTTTAGGTCTTGTATTTACTAAAAAATGCCTTTTTTTTTTAATTTTTTTAGGAACCCTCTCCTACTTCTTCTGAAAAGGGTAAAAAAGTCGTTTCAAATAAGCGTAAAAGAGCACAATAAAATTATTTTTTCATAAACAAACTCTTCGCAATACATTTATTTTACTTTCATAATCATTAAAGCCTTTTGCATGCAAAGTTTTAAAAGAAAATGTAAAAGAGATTTTTTTTTTGATTTAATTTTTTTTTTGAAGTTAATTTTCAAGTTAATTATGGGGGGTGGGGGGTGTCAATTAACTTTTCTCCATTTAAGCAGTAGAAAATGTCTTAAAATTAAGGTTAATTTTTGGTTACACATCGTAAAAATTTTTTTTAAGTCCGTTTAATTTTGATGAATTAACAGTTTTGGAAGTCTTCCAATATTGGACTTTAATTATGAGGAATGTGTGGTGGTCCAGTTTTAACGTTTCTCTCTGCTTAAAATTTTTTTTTTTGGCATATTGAAGTCCAGATGCACTCTATATTTGTTATAAGGGCTTTTGTGACCACATGTTGTTTTTGATAAGGAATTTAAAGGGTGTCACAAAGTCACAGTCTGAATCTTTACAGTGTGTTATTTTGCCCATTTTTAGATCGCTTTTTCAAGGACTTCTTTTACTATTTTTGTAGAAAAACTGGGCAATTTATTTTCGGTTTTCGATCTTGAGAGCACCTAATGTTATTCGCTTAGGTCATCCTGCTTTGATGGCACTGTTATTTCACTGGTTATTTCACCAATGTAGAGGTCATTATTCCATGCTAGGACGAAATGAGAATGTGACAGATGAACAAGGCCATGTGATGGAAGAACAATACAAAGGGGTAGCTACCGCCAGCCGTTTTTATACCTTAGGTCAATATTGCAAGACCCAACTGTTAAAAGCGGATCGTCGTTTTGCCAAATACTCCAACTTTCTTTTTTGGGCGAAGGATGTCATTGAAAACAAAATATCCATTCTGCCAATCGCCATACGTTGCGAACAAGTCGACAGCCCACACGGCGCCAAGATGTGATGGATGGTGAAGGTAATTTCCGTGATAATCGAGAGACGATTGTACCCCATACAATCCGCTCATCCTATGCTTATCACCGACGGCATTATCTCAATTTGAAAGCGATTTGTGAGCAATTGGTTCCACCCCAGTTATTTTTAACCTTTAGTTTGTCGTGAGTCCATTATGTCATCAATCCGCTAATCGGCGATTGTAACTTAATACACATAACCAACCGCAGCAATCGTATTTACTACCTTACGAACCAATACAATTGTAGTTACTCCAGATTGACAATTGTAAAACATATAAATAGCTTCAATTATCAATCAATAAACATTATCTTTATTCTCCTCTAAGAAGTTATTCACATAAGTCAAGACAGACCTAACCCTTCTGACTCGGTATTTAAGCACCTTTCTCAAGCTTATTTTAAGTTGTGATGACCTGTCCCCCAAATTCAAGCATGCTACCGGATCAGAGGAGCCATGCACAGATCCCGTTATTTTTGCCGGCCTATACCGACGCAAATGGACCCTTTTTTTTCCTACTACATCATGAAGCGCTTAGGGACCCAGTATTGGAGATATTCGTGATTGGAGTTATGTACTTGAAATTCAAGGTAAAAAAAAAAAAAAAAAAAAAAAAAGTGAAGCCACAAGGTGAAACTAACCAACCCACCCCCTCTTCATGTTTAGATAGAGGAAGCCTCCACATGCATGTGGTACTTTGGACTCATCGTACGGCCCAAGAACTTTTGATGGATGAAAATATTGTCTATCCCCGTTTACCACCCATTGACGATCCTCTCTATCCGTTGGTAAGGCGTCTTCAAATCCATCGGTGCAATATCCGATATTGCGAGGACAGCAATCCCATGAGTCCATGCCGATTTCATTACCCCAAGGAACCGGTGGAGGAGGCCTACACCGAAAACGATAAATGTCATTACCGTCGCACCGAGGCGGATGTGTATGTCAATCATTACTGCCCATTTTTGTTGGCCATGTTTGAATGTAATATGGATACCCAGGTTAATCTGGGCCAAGCTGCCATGTACTATTTGGCCAAATACCTCACCAAAACCGACCACGATGTGGAATTTAGCCTTGAAGAAGGAGGACGTCGCCGACAAGACAATATGACGGCTTTTGAACATACGAAATCGCGTGTGGTAGGTGCAGTAGAAGCGGTGTATGATGTACTGGGATTTCAAAAACATCGTTCCTCGCGTCAAGTCGAGTTTATCCCCACGAATTTACCCCATCAAAACCAACGACAGTTGCGATCGGACTTACGTGCTTTGGATGAAGACGAGACGGATATTTAAAGTACCAGTATCTTGGAAAAATATGAGGCCCGTGAAGGCGGTGCCCACTTGACATTACCTCAGTTTGTTTGCTTTTATTACGAGGTATTCGGTAGCGTTCAAAAACGACGTTGGCTAGCCATGACACAGACGATGCATACCGTCGCATACCACGATTTACCCTTACCCAAGGCCATCAAATCAAAGGACAGGGTATTTCGACTCATCCTGAAGGACACTCCCCGCATATGGCGTACCCATTATACAGAGGCAAGTCAGGATAGTGAAGGATACTACTACCAGCAAGTGGTAACCCGTATCCCTGTATTTGGAACGACGTTTGAAGCTGCTAAAACGCAACGATTAAGACCTACCAGTGGTGGTGGTAATAACAACAACAACAACAACAACACCAGTAGTGGAGGTACCTGGAAGGAGTATTTTATCAGCCTTGTGGAAGGAGGAGAGATTGAAATGACAGAAGGCGGTGAAGTACCCCAGACGATGACAGGCGAGCGTATCCGTGAGTATGAAGCCATGTACAGTACCCCCTTGACCCCACAGCAAGACCTTGTTTTTCGGCAAATTGTGGATCATCCCACCGCGACGTACCACTTTGTGATTGGCGCTGCAGGAACCGGTAAATCGTACTTGCTTGCAAAATTGCATACCTATTACAGTCAACACGGTTATCATGTGGAACGATTAGCTCCCACTGGCGTTGCCGCTTACAACATTTACGGCGAGACCATCCATCGATTTATGGGGATGACGAATGAGCGTAACGAAGTGAACAAGCTCAAGCTCAATGACCATGTCAAGCTGTACCGAAAGTCGATGTTTTTAGTGGATGAATTCTCCATGATTTCTGTCGAGATGCTCCATCATATCTCATCTGCCTTGATCGAAGTGACAAATCGCAATGTCCCGTTTGGAGGAGTCCAATTTGTGTTTTTTGGCGATGTTGGACAATTACTACCTGTCGAAGCTGAGCAAGGGTATATATGGCAATCATCTCTATGGCACTATGGTAACAAGCTGCAATTGACGCAACCCATTCGTCAAGAGGGACATTCAGACTATGCGGGTATCCTTAATAAGATTCGCGTCTACGAGTTGGACCCCCACGTGGTTCATTTTATTCGTCAACGTTGCTATGACAAGCGAAATATTCCCTCTCATGCCATTCGACTCTATACCACGCGCCACCTGGCAAACCTGGAAAATGCACGCATGATTGATGCCTTACCAGGAGTCCGTAGCCGACATGATGCTGTAGACTATCCCCCTAACAACCCGACTGGCAACGAGCATTCTCGACCTGGAAACGAGACTCCCCAAGATGTTATTGCTCAAGAAGGACATCACCGTGATGCTCACCCACAATCTCGATGTCGAACACGGATGGACGAATGGATGTTTAGCGGTAGTGGAAGAGGTATGTGATGATGATTACATTCGACTTCGACATTTGACCCATGGCTACAGCCGGGTGATTGGTAAGGTAAGTGATTATGTCTATGATACGATTTATAGTAGGACACAATTTCCCTTTGTATTGGCGATGGCTTCGACTGTCCACAAGGTCCAAAGCTTGACGTTACCGGCCGTAGCAATTTTCTTGCAAGACATGCCTTCCCATGGCGAATTCTATGTGGCTCTGAGCCGTGTGAGACGTCCCCAAGACGTGTACATCTTTGGTTTGACCCCTACCGACGCTACCAACGTTCGTCTCGGTGCCAATTGTGATGCTATTGAGATCATGAAGCGCTTGTTATTAAATAGATAAAAGGAATGAGAACCCATGACAGAAACATACATGTTGATACAAAAAGAGAGCCTAAATACGGTTTTTTTTTTAACATACCCATATATTATTACAACCCCATTCTCCATGACTTTATTCTATCTTAATAAAAAGACGCCGACAGGACTCTCTCTCTCTCTTTGTCTCTCTCTTCATACCCTGAATGTTCTTTTCAATACAGACATATCAATTCGTTCATCATGCTGAGTTAGGCAGCCATCGTCCTCTTTTTTTTTTTGGTTCGCTATTGGGCTGGTTCCGAACAGCCGTTTGGTCCGTAGTTTTAGTTCCGACATGCTCTCCGTTCGACACTTTGGTTACGAACCCACCGTTTGGTTCGATACACGTTTGGTTTCGAACATGCAACATGTTTGGGTAGGATACACACATTTTTGTAAACAAAAAAAGCTCTTATTTTATTATACAGTGGGAGGTGGAGGAGATGGGGGAGGAGGAGGAGGGCCAAAACGCTTTAAAAATTCTACCATGGCGGCCTGGTTTGACTGGTTGTCAGGTTTAGATTTTTTAAATCGACCCGTTACAGGGTCATGCAGCGTTCTTTTTCTTGGTCTATTTCCTTGTGAAGATTGTGATGATGGTGATGATGGAGCGGCGGAAGGAGAACGTGATGGAGGAGGAGATGGACGCGGAGGTGGTGAAGGGGAGGTTAGTGAAGGTGGTGGTAATGGTGGTGAAGGGGAGGGTGAAGGTGAAGGTGGTGGTGGAGTGGGTGATGGTGGTAGCGAGGGTGGTGTACCGGTGTCACGTGCCTGGAATGGGGGCGAGCGAGGTCAATTCTCACCAAGATTCAAGATAAAATTCCCTTCGGCGGGGCCGGGTCTAACGCCATGGGCCTAACAAAGGCATGACCCACCATATCCTCATTGATGGTAGCTGGCATGGTATTGGGAAGCACAAAGAGAGATCTGGCGAAGAGACGAAGTCGCGTGTCGGGCACCAAACCCAAAAAATCCGCCATGATGGTGCGTGGCATGAAGTTACCGGTCAAGAACACAAAGTGGGCAAACGTTGTTAGCAATGGCACTTGGGCCTCATACATTGTGCTAGGTATCTCTACCTCACAACAGACAATACCCGTATAAGGATCGTACAAGTTCGAAATGTAGCTGCTGTCATTCAGTCGTCTGACCGATGACGGAATGAGAATGGCGACAATGGATGTCTGGAATTGCTGCATCTTGTTTGAAAAAAAAAAAAAGAAGAAAGACAATGGAGAGAGAGAAAGAAAAAAAAATAATGAAAACGATGACCCAAGAAATAAATTCATGAGTGCCTGATAAATGAGGCAATGATGTAAGTTGAAAAGAAATAAATCCATCAGTGCCTGATAAATGGGGCAATGATGTAAGTTGAAAAGAAATAAATCCATCAGTGCCTGATAAATTAGGCAAGGATGTAGTTTATTAAAAGAAATAAATCCATCAGTGCCTGATAAATTAGGCTATGATGTAGTTTAAAAGAAACAAATCCAACATGACCTACAAATCCAAGTTTAAAAGAAACAAATGCAACATGACCTGATAAATTATTGAAGAAGAATGCTAGATAAAATACATTAAAACACATAAATATGGGGTGGGGGATGCCAGTTTTTTTTTTATATATTATTTTCTTTTATACGAACAAACACAAACAAAACTCATGATGAACCAAGACTTTGATATTAGAGAGGAATGGGCATCCTAATTTCCACTTCCACATTATACATAAAAGGTATCTGAGTCTGAATATGCACTCATTGTTGCACTGAAATGTGGAAATAACTTTTGCTATTTTCACAAATTGTGAAAATAGAAAAACATATCGTCATTTTTTTGTGACCATAGCCAGCCAATCAATTGCTCGTAAATTTAAGTTTTCTATTTCGCTTACATTATGTCATTTTCATAATTATAGTCTATATATAACTACGCGAATCTTTTTTATTGACTTCTTTATCTTCACATATAACTTAGAGTGCATCTTCACTGTAATGTGCCAAAACGTAATCTGTGACATTTTTTAGCATTCATCTCCGACTAGTACAAGTAATATAAAAGGAAATTTATTCATAGCCAGATTTTGTTAATATGGGGAGGTTTTTTTTTTTTTTTTTATGAAGAAAATTTTTAGAAAGGTACAAAAATAAACCTAACTTCTAAATTCACATTTCTATTTGTCCTTTTTAAAGCTCCCGTGAAGTAATACGCTCAAAAACAGTAACCCTTTTGATGCGTTTGTAATTTTAAAGAACGTTCCATCTAATATTACTGAAGTAAACAAAGTTTTCATGTTGTAGACGTTCTTACTTAATGTATATCTACGATTTCATACATCTTTTCTGTGTTTTACACTTCACCATATTTGATCTCAGTTTAGATTTAACAGGCTATGGCACTGAGTACTTTATCTAATGAATATGACCTTTCAAATACATAAATTAAATAAACAACTAGTTGGATCTATTTTCAAAATACTCCAAATTATATCTTTTAAATATGAAGCGTTTCTACTTAGTACATAAAGTTTTTTTTATCCTTTTTATGCCTTACAAGGTCGATCATATTTGATCTCAGACTATGATTTAACGGGTTGTGGCACTGTGTACTTTATCTAACGAATACGACCCTTCAAATACATAAATTAAAATAAACAACTAGTTGGATCTATTTTCAAAATACTCTAAATTATATCTTTTAAATATGAAGCGTTTCTACTTAGTACATAAAGTTTGTTTTATCCTTTTTGTGCCTTACAGGGTTGATCATATTTGATCTCAGACTATGATTTAACGGGTTGTGGCACTGAGTACTTTATCAACAAATACGATCCTTCAAATACATAAATTATTTATACAACTAGTTGGATCTATTTCCAAAATACTCTAAATTATATCTTCTAAATATGAAGCGTTTCTACTTAGTACATAAAGTTTGGTTTATCATTTTTGTTGTCTCACAGGGTTGACGATAAATGTCCTAAGACTTTGATTTAATAGGCTGCAATACTACGCATGCGGGTACTCAAATTGAGATTACAGGCAGTAAACATTTCATGGTCCGAAAGCGGGAATAATATAAGCGGGACAATACTATTGGTCAGAAAAGAAAAATTTAAAATTTTGAACCTGCTTGTGACAAATATTTTCCCCCACACCTAAAATCGAGTTGTAAAAATCCCGGACCCACTTTTTTTTTAAAATAAAAAGTTCATATTCTCATTTTAATCATGATTAAAATGATATATGTCCAAAAATATCGGACCTTAATTATAAGGAAAGTGTGGTGGTCCAATTTTAACGTTTCTCTCTGCTTAATTTTTTTTTTGGCACATTGAAGTCCAGATGCACTCTACGTATTGTAAACAAGCATTTTTTATTGAAGCACATGTCAGACTTATACATACTAATACTCTTCTTCTACGGTCACCAGATGCTATACCTTATGTCGATACAATGGTTTTATTATTATTGGATAATAAATGCAGTATAATATGTATTTATTGATAAGTTCACAAATTTATTTGAGTGGAGTATATATTGTAAGTATATGTGTATGTATATGGAATAGTGCCTAGTTAAGTAATTATGTTTAATGGCCTTCTTGTCTTGTTCTTGTCAACTGTGGATACCTGGAATCTAAAGCAAAACCAGATCTTATGTATCTCGTCAACAGCGTTTTGATATTGCAGGAAGCGTTTACGTCTCTGTTGCATATCTGTAGGAAACGTATTAGTCGAATGCCGTCGCGGATAAAAATTGGACAAAACGACTTACACAGGGCGAACCTTCTTGTTGGCAATGTTGAAACAATTTCAGAGGGTAAACATTTTGGAAGGATCCTATAATAAATATAACCAAAGTTTCTCTATCAGTCACCATGGAATAAGCGCAAGATTTTTTATCTTCTTCTGGCTGATAACAATCCGCGGTGTTCCATAAAATGTTGTCTTCATCGTCAAAACATTTCAGATGATTTCTTTTTTTCTTCACGGTACTTGTAATTGGTGTTTCTAAATAACGTGAGAGCATTACGCATGTTAAAATATTATATATTATAGCCTTGCGTTATGTTACAGGCACGTAAGTTTGCATTGAAGTCTCGGTTGTTGCATGTACGAAATCTCGGAATAATTTATGTTTCTTGTTTGTTGAAGACTGTGACAGCATTTTTGAGATGTATTGTACTCATCAACTGGTATAACAAGAGCTCTTTGAGCGATTACTCTCCGAATTTTCTATGAAAGTACAAATATTAAATGAGTATACAGACCCCGCCACAAATATAACAACATAAACATCATTATACACCCCTTTACTGGTATAGGATTTTGCTTTTCAAAGGTCCCACTTAGGGAAGCGTACCCATACGCTACAACGGTTTAGTGCTGATCATATCGGATATTTGGGTCCCGCAAATGTTGTTCATTTGTTTTGTTAAATATTCTTCTCTTCTTTCTTCTAGAGTCTTAACTAGAATCCATGGAAAGCTTGTATGATTTATTCACGTTTGCGTGCCCCAGAACCACTGAAGCAGCGTAATCGTTAGCCATTCGACGGTTTGAAAACATAAACCTTTTATTTCTGGATGCCTGCACGACTTCATGAATTCTATTTTTGCAGTTACACAATCAATGATCATGTGATTGATTTATGACTGTATTTGTTTTACCTTTGGTTTTCAAGAGACTGAGAGTTAAATAGGTTTCGAATCCTCCAACGGTGCACACATCCCTTGTTGGAAGTCTTGTGTAACTATCTTGAATGTTTGAGGTTGCGCGGCTTCGAAGTTCGCATCTTCTTTGCTAATGTATGCCGGAGCGGGACCTGTCATTATTAAAATAAATCATCACTGAATGAATCGTATGCTTTGTTTCATGCTCTATACTTACATATACAATGGGTTGCTTATATTGAATGAATGCTGTATAATGAGCGGCTTATTTTGTAAAAGATCTTCTTCGCAATCAACCGCACATATGATATCATGAACACCTATAAAGACAATCACGTATATACATTCGTTAAAATCTTATTATATCGGGATAGACATTTTACATTGCAGATAGACCTGGATCAATTCCAATGATGCGATCTTCCATTGTGATGCCGGTGGAGTTTTGGGATAACAATTACAGGCCTTTGTTTCTTCCTGCGAGGTTAATGTTTTATTTTTGGAGATTGACATTGTCTTTGTTCATTGGAGCCCAGTCTGTTTTGATTTTTTCGAAAGGCATGGAAGCCATATGTTCATCAGGTGGTACTGAAAATGTTAACTGACTTTGCTTGTCTGAGTTACATTTGGCAGGAGCATAAGACAGGCTTTGATAGTTAAGATGTCGTTTCTTTTCAACTTTATATAGGTCAAACATATTTTCACAGAGATCATCTTTTACGTCATATTGGGTATACACGTCTTTAGACTGGTGGTAGTATATTATAGCATCACTACCCAATAATTGGCGTGGTATATAATGGTTACCACTACCATTTAAGTTTCGTTTATAACCTAATGCGAAAATGCCATACATTGCTTTAGGCCCGTAAATACGAGCATACGATAATGAGTATGATGCTTCCGGTAAAAAACTCCAGGTCTTTACTTCTCATGTTTCATGTTACAACCACTCTTTCAATAGTCAGAAACTAAGAAGCAGATATCTTAAAGGATATTGATAGTTTTTTTTTGTATTTATTGACTTTATCGTAGTTGCTGGATCCATATTCGAAATCGTATATGACTTTTATGTGGTTATGTACTTTTTCAAAATCTCGTATATTTGCTATTCTGATTTATGCTTGACGAAATGACATGGGAGAAACAATAGCTACTGAAGCTTGTCCAGCTACATTTTTTTGTTATAAGATATTAGGTGAGACACAATATAATTTTATTTGGAAGTTACCTAGAGTTTTTACAGGGACAGATGCTCGGTTTTGCTGAAGGCAATAGTTTAAAAACCATCTAAAAGACGAATATTCCAAAGCTTGAAGTTGAGTAAATGCACACCCACGTCTACATTGCCGGAAGAAATAAAGAAATTGGTAAGTAAATGTGGTAATTAATACCGTACATCAATTGTAAAAATAATTCTAGATACTCTGTACAACGGTTGATCTGAACGTTTCTGAAAAGCCTATTCGTATATTGTTAAGTGCAGGAATATTGTACAAAGACCTTCGCAAAGCATAGAATTTCTAGAAACTATTTGTCCTGTACCCCTCAAAATGCTACAAAAAAATCAGGAAATTAAAAAAATTAAGAAAATATAAAAAACGAACTTTATAAACTTAGAATTCAATAGTTAAGTCGGTGTGTCTCATCAAGACATACTATGCGACACGCATGCGACCAGAAATTATCGTTGTTAATGGAGGGTAAGCCTCAGATGACAAGGGATAGTTCATTTGAACTATTTTTTTTTCGGCGATGGTAGATTGTTCCATAACATAATCGCTGGCGGTTTTATATCTTTGTAATTTCTAATATAATTAGAACTGTTGAAATATATTTGTACCACATTCTCTTTTAATAATTCTCGTCTTAAGGCTTCAAAGTCTTCCTTATTCGATGGCAGCATGTATATTAGCTTGTAATACAAGTCTTGTTTGAACTAACTGATCTCTTGTTTCATTGTCTAAGCTGATCTCTATTTCGTGATCAAATCTCTGTAAAAGAGCATTGGCTTGTGGGATATTATTTCGGTAATTCGTAACTGAATCAATGACAGTATTTGTAAATACTAGAAAGTTTGCGTACAGTTCATCTGTTGTTCTGGTGTACATTTGGTCCAACACATGCTCCAGGGCAAAAACCTGCTTTGTAATATCCTATGTAAGTGTTAAGAATCTGGCAAACCTCTCAACAATTGAAAGTGATGATAAAATAATGTGTAAAATATCATGCTTATTAGGAGCACAAAAATTCTCTGTCTGAGCGGTTACTTGCTTGAAGCCTGTAGCGATACTTCGATTTGATTTAAGTTGGGTGTTTAAGTGTTGGTCAAGACCAGTTGTAGCTGCTATAATATATTCATGTAATAACGAAGGGTTTGCCTGATTTTGAATACTTTTTTGTATCTTCTGTATATTTTCACTTGTAACGTTCAAATGTGTTCTTTCTTCTGCTGAAAACCTGACAACATCTCTTAAAAAGGAAGTGTTTTTCTGAAATTTGTCCTGTATGTATGTTAATTCGTTATTAAAAAAGAGGGCAAAATTGATCACATCTCGTCCAGCTATAAGATGCTCCTCAGCGATGTGTCTAATAAAAATGACAATGTTTAACATTGATGAGCATTATTTTACAATAGGTGGATTAATTGTCCGGATTTTTTGCAAAAAATCATTTAATCAGTCATAGTTTAACAGTCACTTTTCTATTAGGGGACGTGTTTGACTGTTGAGTAGACCAGATGGTTTTGTATGTGTGGCTTTGATTACATGACAGTCCCGTCATAACTATTTGGTTTGCTAACGGAGTGTTAAAATAGCAGACCCCATCCGGACAATTTATCCGGGTTTTAGAAAATACGTGAACTGTCCAGAAAGTTATCGAAATAGGGCATACCCAATCACAAAAACATATTTTTGTTTGTATATAAAGACGGCATATACGATACAAGAAGTCTTTCCATTTATAAAATTTATTTCCTTTCCTTATTCTTCTTCTCTAGAATTCTGCTAGAAATAATGAAATCGCTGTCAATTGAGAAACAAAACAGTATTGTTATGCGACAAATCGAGCGCATTTCCAATTTTTCTTTCTTTTTAAACACCTACTAAAGTGCATTACACCTTTTCGGGTTTGCACCTGTCAAAACTACTTCTTTTCATCTTTTTCTTATCCTCAGATCTGTGACCTCTTAGTAGGCGCAATTACCTCAATCTCTTCTATAAATTTCCCCAATTTCTTTAATTTCAGTGACTGGATTATACGTCCATCACTATAAATAGGCATCCATAAGACCTCTCCTAAATAAAAACCCTCATCTATTATTTTACTCATATATCAACACTTTGACTTATTAGTTTTATATATTATTCAGCTCTATTATCATTCTGATTGATCCCTTGATTACACTTTTATCATTGTATCTTTTATTTATAAGCATATAAGCTATACTTAAATCCATTTATTTTCTAACAGTTCAGCTTCTGTTTAAACTAGCTGTGGTGCTCACTCAACTCGCAATTATAAAGACCTTCTTTATTAAACTCTATTTTATTTAAAGAAATACTCCTTATCCCGCCAATACTACTCGTATACTCTTATTTCAGTATTAAAAACATCTTGAAATCGTAGATTTTGTACTCAAAAATAATAGAACGTGTGCCAGATGTTAAAAAGTCCACAATTTCGGACTACAAACGAAAGTTTTTCCTGACATTTGACATTCAGCATCAGGCCGTCATAGCATTGTGAAGGAGACAACTCGAAATGCTATTTGAAAGAAGGTTGTACTCGGTGATCTCAGAACAGGAAAGAGGTGGAAAAGTATCTCTATGATCTATGATTTGAAATTGGACACTCTGCATGCTTGAAACTACTAAAATCAATGGGTTTTAAGGTGCTTTTTAAACAGGATAAAACCTTTTCTTAGGGCCCATCTCCGTCAACAAAGATTCGACTGGGTTTAAGCACATCGTAGTTGGACCAAAGATGATTGGAAACGTGTAGTTTTCTTTGATGAGACTAAAATCAACATTTGGGGTTCCAATGGTATTTAGTACTGCTGGAAAAGACCGGATGACAAGTTACAGTTTCATCAACTAAATCTTACAGCGAAGCTTGGAGGTGGAAATTTAATGATGTGGGGATGTATAACTCACGATAGACCCGGTTATGCTTGTCAGATATTTGATGGCACCATGAGAAAAGATGATTACATCAATATCCTGGAAACAACAATAAAGGACACGCTTGACTGGTAAGGTTATGACCCTGAAAAAATATATTTTCAGCTGGAGAAGGACCCAGAGCACATTTCTAAGCTAACAAAGCAGTGGTTTAAAGACACCAACTTTAATACTGACTGGACTTACAGCTTACCACCTCCGAGTCCTGACTTAAATCCAATCGAGCACGTCTGGCACCACCTAAAATTGAAGTTGAGCTCGTATACATCAAAAGTAGAAAGTGTTCATTAACTATGGGAAAGAGTCGAAGAGCAGTGGAATACCATTACAAAGGAAGACTGCCAGAGATATATAGATAGCATGTCAACAACAATTGAGGCGGTCATTAAAGCCAATGGTGGTCATACAAACTGCGAAACTAGTTATTTTATACCCGGATTAATTGTCCGGATGATGAAGTGTAATTTTAATACTTATAATTTTAATCTCGGACTATAAATAGTAATAAAACATGTAGTATATTACACAGTACAATTTTATCTTTCTAACCATATAAACGTTTTGTCATTTTTCTAAGGAAATCCGGACAATTAATCCACCTACTGTGTATGAAAACAAGTATTGCACTATAGTTTCTGTAATTATTTTTTAAAAGAGTTGAAAGTTTGGATTTCAATTATGATAATTTATATTAATCATTGGTGCAGTTGGAGGTGGAATTTGGGTGAAGGTTGGGGTGGAGATTGAGTAGCTTCCGTACAAGATCCACTTTCACTGCGCGTTTGTCTCTTTTGTACTCCTTAGTTTATAAATTCATTTTGTAAAGCTTATGTAGCGCAATAATATTAGTTAATGCATACTTGTCATTCAAAACAATTTAGTTTTTAATAATAGCGAAAAAAAGGAAGGAACAATAATCTAATGAGCTGTGTTGGTACCGTCTAGAATAATGTCCATTTAATTCTTATTAACTGTGGCTTATACTATTGTGCTAAATCCATCTAGTTCACTAGCTTCCATTTTTAAAGTGACCACAAAATCAATTGTAAATTTTTATTAAACCTAAGTTAACGTCATATTATTATTAAGATTGGGAAAAGTAACAATCGAAAATTCAAATAACAACAGTAAATTAGAAAATCCTGACTATTAAAGAATACAATACGACTGTTTTGAGCTTGTAATTTTACTTTCAAGAGAGCGTTGTTTAGTATACAAGGTTTTATTTAATTGCGTTTAATTGCTCCGGTTATGGATGAATTTTAATCAAAGTGAAAAGGATATTTGTGACGGTGTAAAGAGTGTACTGATTCAGATTAATAATCACATAATATTTTTTGGGCAGCGTAAAACATACACATCAAATTAAAGTCCTAAACCTGGTTTCTTTTAACAAGCACATTGTAACTTCTAAAGTCACTCCTCAACTTCTACGTAATTTTAAAATCCGTGCATTAATTTTTTACGCTTTTTACTTACACTTTCTAATTTCTCAAACTGTCTGAAGAACGCCGAAAAGTGTTTGATTGTAACATGTCGTCGAAACCCCTTCGGATATTACACTAAAATAATGTGTTTAACCACATTTTATTTGATATGTGTACACCTTTTGTAGAAATAAATGGCACAAACTCCGAAAATAATGGCACACTTTTTTTTTGATTTGGCACAGTTGAGAATTATATATGGCACACTGATCCAAATTAAGTTGGTACATATCGAATTTAATGATGGCACACTTTTGAAATTTTATATAGCACACTTTTCTTTTAATTCAATAACTAAAAAACATGTCTCTCAAAGTCTATTTCGAAGATGGTAGAGGAAATGCCATAGATGAAGATGGCTTAGAACCTGTGCAAATGTATGTAAGTGGATGAGGAAGCGTATCCTCTAGATAATATAACCACTTATGATTCACATCTAGATCTAAAACCCCCTGAAAAAAAAATACAAGCAAAATTTAACAAACTCAACAAAGCTCTTAGTAATCCTAACGGTTCAAACAATAAAAAAATACATCGCGGAGATGATGTAAAGGATATGTTTCTTTACTACCTCTACGAAAGGGGACTGACTGCGGGAAAAGCGGCAAGTGTTATGAATATCCCTCGTAGAACGGGTTACAATTAGCTTAAAAGCGATCAGGATATTCTCGTGGGTAGACTCGAGGGGAAAAACGATGATAGTAGTGATGAAAAATTGACTGAGAGAAGAGGTAGAAAGGCAATATTAAACGAAGATCATAAAAAGCACCTTGAGGAAACGTTTGGTGAGAACCCTTCAGCATCGGTTGATCAAGCTATAGATAGTTTGACTAGTCAATTTGAAGGTCTGAAAGTTGGTAAAAAAAAAAACCGTTCATAACTTCATGGTTAACGAGTGCGCGTTGTCCTTTAAAAAAGCATATTTTTACCCTGCTGAGAGAAATTAAAACGAGAAAATGCAGCAAAGATTCGAGTGGGTAACGAACTGGTCAAAAACAGTTTTGGACTACCAGATCAATTTCATTTTCATTGATGAGGCGGCTTTTCACGTCAACCTTAAGAGGACGATGGCCTGGTCAAAAAAAGGGGAGAGAGCCATAGTTGAGATGCCTGTAACGAGGGCTCAAACGACAATCATTTTGGGTGCCATATCACCCCTCGGTGTAATCAATGTGAAAGTAAGAAGACCGTACCAGTTTACCTCAAAAAAGAAAAAGTTACAGAGAGCATCATCTAAAGCTACCGGGTCTTCTGCAATCAAGACAGTAGGCACCGTTACTCGTCATTATTTTAATTTCATCGCCAGTACCCATGATGTGTTAGATAAACACGAGCAATTTAAAGGCTTGTACATTGTCATGGACAATGTTCCCATCCATAAAAATCTTGATATTCAACGATATATTATTAATTGCGGGTACGGATGCGTTTATCTCCCGCCCTATTCGCCTGAATTGAATCCAATCGAGCAGTTTTGGTCAGTGGTTAAAAGCAAACTGAAGAAAGAAAAACTCTTGGATAAGGAAACGCTTACTTCGAGACTAACCGACGCTTGCAACAGTGTTCTTTTCAGTAATTTACAGGGAATTTTCCGATATTCTGATTCGAAATGGCAAGTATGTTTTGATAAACTTCCACTTTAAATATGGCACACTTTGTGCCAAAATTTTTGTGCCATCAATAAAAAAGATTATGTGCTAAACTAATAAAAATTTCTGAGCCAATCAAAAAATTAATGTGTGCCAAATGAGAAAAAAAAAAGTGTGCCATTATTTTCGGAGTTTGTGCCATTTATTTTTACAAAAGGTGTACTTTTCTTTAAACACGGAGTAGCATTGCTTTAAAAACATTCTAAATCGAAGATCCAACAATGATACCTGAAAATACATGATTTTGAATATATCAACTGAAATACATGTTTGTAAGGACATAAAAACTGCGGTCTAATTTTAAATTTTTTTTTCCCAACACAGAAGCTGTATTTTGTCTATTTCTCAAAAAAAAAAAATTAAGGAATTTGATCGAAAACCGCCAGAAAAGGAAGATTTTGAAGTGAAATTTTTTACCTAATTGATAATAAGCTACTTACTAAAAAAAATGCAGACTTTAGCAAGGGGATTTCTGGGATGAACTAGGTTCAGGACGTCCGGGTTTTCTTGGCGGGTATTGCCGTCGAGGATTCTGCTGGGGGGCGGCAGGGGCTTGGTCGGCAGGTCTCTCACTAATTACAATATCCATGATTCTCCTCCGGGAACGAATATAGGCCGAATCATCCTCCGTAAATTCTCTCTCCTTTACCATGGTATCATTGGGTTCTTTATGAATTAATGTTAATAAAATTGTGTTTAAAACAGTTATATATGAATTACCTAACACAGCGTGGAGCGTTTCAACGGCCTTATACAGGATTTTGGGGTCTAAGGTTCCTCTAAACACACGTTCTGAGTTTTCAAACTCCATGTACGCAGAACGGAGGAGGTCGTACTTGTATGGTATGTCACTCCCAGGCTCACCCTTCTCATACGTATTGCCTGCTGTCCACATAATTTCGACATTCACCGAATGTGCATAGTTTGGTTGTTTGTTGGTGATACCCGACATAAACGGTCTGATTACCTGGGTGCCTTTTTAAAATTGTAGTTAGTTAATGCCACGCTGGGGGATTTTTTTTTTTTTTGCATTTTACTGCACTTACCATATGCCGCAACTTCGTCCATGCGTCTGGCTTTGTATAACTAAAACAACATACCATAGTTGCTTATGAGTAGGGTAATGTTCCTGCCAGCGCATTGGATTTTGATGGTACCGCCGACGTCGTTACCAAAAGCAACGTTCAACTTCAGTTGCTGTGTTACTCGTCCCCGGACGGTTACCATTACTTCAGATCTGCAGGCGGCAAACGAATTTGGAGTTGTCATTGTAGAAAAAATAAACATCAAAGTAAATATGAATATGAAAATGAAAAATAGAAAAATGGATAAAAATATGGATTATATATACTTGTTTTTTTAGTGTCTTTTCGTTTAGTCTATAGAGTAATAAACAGGTTTTTGAAGTTGTATAAATTCATATAGTTGCCAAGTCTTTTGATGTCAATAATAAAATTTAAACTGAAAAAAGAAAGCTTGACAACTTTTTGTTGTTGTTGTTCTGACTTCATGTTGTAGACTTCATTTTGAACATGGTCGTATGAGTGACATCCCTCAACAAAAAAAATAGAGTGTCATATATGCGGTATATCGTGTCTTTCTGACTGTTAATCTTTAAATCATTTATCTGACAATAATTCATCAAGAATTTCATTGACTAGTTGATTTAAGGTTAGTTTTTTTTTTATGTTACTGCTTTGAATTATAACCTTTTTTTGCTCTTCATTCGATATTTCCAAATGAATTACACTGAAGATAAAACTGCCAACAACACGAATTTTGCTGTTGTGGGCATGATGCCTGCCTTCTCTTGGAAGGAAGATGAAGAGGAACATTTTTTTAATGGTAAAAGGGATTTGTTTTGGCTTGTAGCTGCAGAGGGTATTTGTTAAAGCAATTACTGGTAGTTTTATGCATAATTGAATTTTTTCTTTTCGTTAGCTGATATCGTGCCTGATGGTGCGGATGATGATGAACTGGTGGAGTTCGATAACTAGTCTTTCTGGTATGTTATCAATGAAGCGAATAACAATTGGAAAAATATTCCAGAATCAGAGATCCAAGAAGGCATTGATAAAGTAAAAGGCTTGATTGAATCGGAAGATCCAGCAATAGTTCTTTTGGTGGGAATGGTGTTGGGCTTATACTGGTTTGGCCGTGGAGTCGAGTGTGGACCTTTGGTAGTTGAAGATGATGAGGATAGAATGTACTATTTGCTTCCTTCAACTACCCCAAACCCCACTTATTCGGCTGCCCGAATTCGTGAAGAGTTTATACGTTGTGGGGAGTACTTACACCAGCATGAATAAGAAGAGGAATGATTGTGTGATAAACAAGTTTTTTAATATTTATATATGCATCTTACTTTTTTTTTTTGTGTTTTTACTTTTTTTTTCCCAGTTAGATTTTTTTTTTCATGAACATTCCCGCCAATTGTAATATTTTATTTGTAGGAATTAATCCAAGTGCTGCTAACCCTCAAGCCGATTATTTCGAAACACCAAACAATCAATTTTATCGATTGATTAACGAGAGTGGTAATTTTTTTTTTTTTGGATGAGCTTAAATGATTTCTGATTTCTAAAAAAGTAAGCAGCAGTTACCGGTGAGATTCAAGTGAACAGAGCTTCCGAGCTTCGCTTGATCAATGCAGGTGTGATGAACTTTGTGGACAGAGCCACCCAAATGGAAAAAGAAATTAATAATGATGAAATGGCTGCTGGAAAATATCGTTTGCAAATTGCAGTACAAAAGTTTCATCCAAGGGTCATTTGTTTTGTGGGTACAAAATGTTGTAAATATACTTTGTACGTTCCCCGTACAAACAACAATGTCAACTTTGGTCTGCAGCCCAGAAACTTTGAGGGTGTACCTGTCTTTTGCGTGCCTCATGGCAGCAACAAAGGCATAAATTTGACTTTCAATGATAAATTAATGTAAGCGGTATGGATGTTTTTATTTTATCTAAGACGTTTGTTTCCAAATAGATTTTATCAATAATTGAGCGATTACTTGATCAACAATTAAAGTTTTTTTTTTTTTTTTTTTTTTTTTTTTTAAAAAAATCCAACACATGATTTTAATGTTTAAAAATAAAAAATTTATTAAAGCAAACAAAACTAATATAAATAGATACACAATTGCCATTCAATAATGAATGTTGCCCGAGATTGGCCACGTGGAAGCTTGTATCTTTGCAATCTCTTCAAAGTTTTTTGATAAAGGTCAAAAAATAGAGCGTAAAAAAAAAAACCTCTGCTTCCACCCCTCCATCACTGCCATCTCACAACCGTTATATCTAGATAAGAACCACCTAGTAAATAGAGTTCACTTTCTACATTTAGTATCGTTTATTTACCAGTGACGGCGAATTCAAGACTTAATCTAGATTACAGTCCCTGGTATCCTAGCTATACTCAATTCCACAACTAATCAGGCTCGGTATTACGAGGTTGCATAGTGCTATAGCTTTAAAATGATACGAAGGGAAGACAGAGGCAGACAGAGAGAAAAAAAAGAAGACGGTCTGTATTTTTACAGTATCAATAAAAAAAAGATGGGCTGAATTCCCACATATAGATCTTGTTTCATGATCATCTGGATTGGTTCAGTTTTGCATACACAATCCTTTATTTACCATCCTTGTGAAAAATAAATAAATACTTTGTTCCTTAAAGGCAATAGTTATGATAGGACAGCATTAAATAAAACAATTGATGAAAATATTTTTTGAAGTGGGTCATTTTATTTTAAAAAAAATCGGTATTATTTATTCCTGATGTTTAATTTCCTATTCTTCACTCAAACTTGGTGTTTGTTGTCGAAGCATTAAAATTAAATTTTTTCTATTGACTTTAGTAAAGATAGTCTCTATTTCATTCTCATTATAGGAACTATTATCAAGATCAATATTACATAAGTCAACCTATAAATCCTAGAGAAAAAAAAATTAGCAGTATTAGATTAATAGTTATTTAAGTTCAAAGTGTGATAATTGCTTATTTCAAAGTATATGTGTATAGAGGTTTTAGACGGAATACGAAATGAGACTATTTATATCTTTATTATAAGTTGTAGAGTTTGTCATAAATAAAATTAGAGGTTCTTTTATATACGAATTATAACTTCCGGTGGATTCTCTGCTTAGTTCTAATTAACATTTTACACGAGATAGCGATACCTTAACTTGAGATAGAAATCGATCAGAACGTAAGATGGAGTGTATTACTTTAGTAACATAGGATCTCCATATTACGTCTGGAACCTTTATATAAATGTAACAGGTCATGGTTCCTTAAAAAGAGTTACGGATTAGAGCTCCTTATCAAAGTATATGTATAGTAAGGTTCCACATTTACACCAAAACTTGGATTAAGTTTAGATTATAATCGCAGAGTGCATGTTATATTTTACTGGAAGTTTGTCTTTAGACCCTGTTGCAGCCAATAATAATGTGGCTTGTTGTTACACAGGATAGAATCTTTTCTATAAATACGTCCCTTTTTTTCTTAATAAATATTACTTCAGTTTTATCTTAACTAAAAATCTAGTTTCTTAATAATTCGTAATTGACTGCTTTGTGTTTCCCTCAACTCTCATACTTCTTATTTATCTTAAGTCTATACTTTTCATATAACGATTAACTCAAAGTTCATATTTGACACTCGACTCGAATCTCTTTATTACTAAAACCGTATATAAGATATTGTTTATTACAACATAATTACTTATCTTTTTAATCTTGGCAATCAGTTTATATTTATATTACTTACGCCGTCTTAAATTCATCGTTGATTATCTTCTTATCCTAAAAACTTTATAATTTAAGATTTCTTAAGTTGATTACTTCCAGTCTCGTGCTCACTTTTCTAACTACTTTATTATGAACATCAATGCTAATAACCTATATCCACCTTATCTTGTAAGAACTATTACCAGTGTCTTAACAATGTTTGAATATTTGGAAAAAGACGATATCCCTAGACCCAGGCTTGAAAATTGATCTATGGAAAAGTGTTAATTGTTTATATATCTGATTAACATTTCTATGCGCAATGTTTTTGCTTCATAATAAAAATCTTGATAATAGAAAATATTAATTTCAAAGGCGGCCCCTTTATCCACCTAAAACAAACAATTTTTTAGTTCTTCTCGAATAATGATATATTGTTTGTGAAAAAGGGTTCATACACTGTTTTTCTAACCTCGATAATAAAATGCTTAATGATATTGGTTGTTATACTGGGGCGAAGGGCGACCTCTACCACAAAACCCCCACAGCAAAACATTTTTTTTTCAATGACCTTTTCCGTAAAAGTCACTTTTTATATAATAGCTTTCTCCACAATAATCAATTTTTATATAAGCTCTTGTTTTCAGTTTAATGTTTAATGTTATGGATTGTATTCCTGGGAGGATGGGTTTTCCTGGCCTCTAATTTTGTATCTCTGCTCAAAAACATTACGCCGTGAAAAAAACTCACGCTTTAAAATCATAGCGCTGTAAACAAAATCGCGCTGTAAAAAAAGTTATGCTCTAAGATATAATGCTGTAAAAAAAGAAAGGAATACTGTTTTTCAGAAGGTATCAATTTAATGCTTAATTGTATGGGCCGCACTCTTGGGTGGAGGGGTTCCCCTTTCCCCCAATACTTTTTATCATCACTGCTTTAAAAATACAATGTTAAAAAAAGCATACTGTTTTATAAGATATGTATAAGCAATTTCATGCCTAATACTAGGGGCCGTATTCTTGGGGGAAGGGAAACCCCTCCCCCAAACCCCCCTCCTCTCTTGCGGGGGAAACCCCCGGCCCGCCATTTAAAATCTTAACTTTTGTAACTTTTGTGACTGACAATTAGCTCGCCTTGTGACTGTTTTTTTACGATTTCTATTTTTTAAATGTTATTAGTAATAAGAATAAAGCCCTACAAGCGCTATAAATCTTATTTAGTTGTTTTTAATCGATTTGTGTTTGTGTTAAACAAAGTTTCTCCACAGGAACGACGGTTGCAAACTTGTAACTATGTATGATCAAATTTCCATCGTCATCAGTTACAATTTGACTTAGTATAATATTACTGTTGGTACCGAACTTATCTGACAAGTACGAAAAGGCCTCTGACTTTAAAATGTAATGTTTTTTCAGCAACGCTATTTCTGACATCAAACAATGCCTTTTAAAATAGGGTTTGTTAGCCATCACGTTTTCGACGGAAGAACCAGTTCCAACACGAAATAAACTATCCCATAAAATGCTGTTATCTTTCCATCAATTGATATAATGAAACGGGGACCCTTTATACACCTGAACTCAGTTAAAATGATTCGATAAAACTCAAAACTCGTACTCCTGCCTATATGATGCAATAAAAAATCACTGAACCTCCTCGTTCAGGTTTTACTCATTTCTGTACAGAATATGAATATATGTCTTTACTGTTTTTTGTGCCAGAACAAAGAATTTCATCAAACAGGATAAATTTAATTTGGTTTTGATTCAGTATTCTATCTGTTTCCAGTTTTTTCGGTGTACATAACTCCAGCTTTCGTAAAAGTAGCACTGGTGGATATGTGGTCCCTTATCGTTGTCACGCTTTCTGTTTAATAAAAGGAACAACAAGACATTTTTTAGGTACCCGTTGAACGGTCGTATCATTTCGACCGAATTACAAATCACCGCAAAAGCAGTTGTAATGCATTAAACGCTGACACCACTCTTGTTTTTGTTACTTATTAAATCATAGAGTTGTTTTTCCTCATATTTTTTGGAAGACAGCCAAACCATGTCGCACGCGACTGACCAAGTTAGCCTGCCTAATTTCCTTGTTGCTAGTATTTGTAAAACCAGTTTTAGAACTTGTTGAAAGACCACTTTGAACACTGCACCAGCATAGAGCAACACTAACAGTTTTATTTCTCAAAATGTGGTGCGTGTTTCAAATAAAAAAACGTTTCAGTAAACGTTATGAAAAAAAAACAGTTCAAGTTTTTATAAGTGTTTAACCGACTAATATACTTTTTTAAAAAGCACTGCTAAACCGGTTAATACCATGTAGTATCCGAAAAAGGAAAAAATAAAAACGTTTCCAAAACAGTCACAATCATATCAGTAAGTGATACCATTAAAAATAAATAAGACTTCAAACGATTAAAATACTTTTGGCAGGCGCTGTATATACGTTTCTGCCGTCCAACGGATGTTTAGGTATGTTCTCGTAGGTTTTTCGAGTTTTGTTATTTTTGAAACGCATGGCTATAAGCTCCCTACAGGTTTAGATCTCTCGAACTCTTCAACAAACGTTATTAATCCTTTGTAATCAATTGCGGTTACTAGGTAAAGGTAACCTGAGAACGCGAATGTGTTGAATCTGGACAGATAACGGACCAGAGTTTCCCCACGTATCGGATATAGACGGATAACGGACCGGAATACCCAAAAGTAATCCAATCTGGACAGATAACCGAGTAGAGTTTCCGAAAAAGTGGAATACCAACGGAAAAAGGACCTGAGTTCTTGTTGTGTCTTAAGGTAAATATAAACTAGATAGCTGGCATCTCGCGCACTTCGTGAGCGGAGCCAGCGTCTGAAACGCACTCAAAGTTAATAAGTATAGCCTTTATCTGTAATATATAAGGAGAGATAAAAAATGATGATTTTAGACAAAATATAAAATTTAATGGGTGTTAGGTGTGCATGAGTAATTCAGGATAAACAACATTTTTGGTAGTGCTTGTTTAGCTGAAAATAACACGGACATTTCGTTTGCTGATGTTGCTCTAGTATCTAATAAATATTTTTTATACGCTGTTAAGACACTGGTAATAGTTCTTAAAGAATAAGGTGGATATAGGTTATTAACACTGAGGTTAATAATAAAGTAGTTATGAAAGTGAGCACCAGACTGGAAGTAGTCAACTTAAGAAATCTAATAATATAGAGTTTTTAGGATAAGAAGATAATCAACGATGATTTTAAGAGGGCGTAAGTAATATAAATATAAACGAATTGCCAAGATTAAAAAGAAAAGTAATTATGTTATTATAGATAATATCTTATATACGGTTTTAGTAATAAAGAGATTTGAGTCGAGTGTGAAATATGAACGTTGAGTTAATTGTTATATGAAAAGTATAAACTTAAGATAAACAAGAAGTATGAAATTTGAGGGAAACACAAAGGAATCAATTACAAATTATTAAGAAACTAGATTTTTAGTCAAGATAAAACTGAAGTAATATTTATTAGAAAAAAAAGGGACGTATTTATAGACAAGATCCTATCCTGTGTAACACCAAGTCAGTTTAGATTGGCTGCAACAACGCAATGCAAATCAACATTTTTATAGTCAATGCCAATCCACACTTTTACACTCAATGCCAATCAACATTTTTATACTAAATGCCAATCTACCGGTCTCTGTTCCTGGGTGATGGGGCAAGCCCCTCCTCCCTGACCCACCCCCAATTCGGGGGGAAACCCCCGGACCCCCTCGGGAATAAATTTTTCAGCTGAGTATAAATTCTGCTTGATTCGTTTATACGAATTGTAGTATATTATAAGGTTATAAACAGATTATAGGATTGTTTTGAGATTTTTATAAAATGTACTTTCTAACAAATGAAATATACGAGTACTTATGTAAAGGACTGTCTGCTGGTTTCATTTGTCTAGTAGTTTTTTGATTAACCAAAGTAAATAAAAAAAAATTACGCTGTTAGTAACTTAGTTATGCGCTAATAAATGTTAAGTCTTCTTATCTCATTGCTTTAAACTACAGTGACTTCCAAAACTGGAAACATGTTTTCTTTTTTTTGGTATAATTAACACTACTCCATGGAAAATTAATCGAATCATATGATTTTTTTTCGAAAATATATGGCCCAAACTCGACTATGTTACACTAATTTTTGTGACTTTTAAAATTTATTAAAGTTAAAGAAATAAGGGGTTTAAGACGAGTAATCAATGATTCCAGTTTTGGCGCCGGTTTGGATTATATCATTTATTGCTTGCACTTAACCTAATATTTGGTCCAATAACCCTTTGCTTTGATGACTGCTTCCCAGCGACTAGGCATACTGTCTATAACAGCCAAACAATCATTTACAGTAATTTTGTTGTACCAAACATCTGTGGCCCGTTCGAACAATTCATTGATTCCTTTTGGTGCCGTAGGTTAATCATTCAGCTTTCGTTTCAACAAGGCCCACGAATGTTCAATAGGATTTAAACCCGGTGATTGCAATGGCCAGTTCATGACGTCGTAGTCTTGTTGTTTCAAGTAATTGTGTACCTGTTTTGATGAGTGTTTCGGGTCATTATCTTGCTGAAAAATCACCTGGTTTCGATTCAAAGATAGATTTTCAGCTGTCAAATCTACACTTTTGTCCAATTCGTCACGTAAAATATCCATATAAAGCTCTTTGTCCATTGTACCATCAATTTTACACATCCAGCCAACACCACTGGTACTTATGCAGCTCCAAATCATGATGGATCCACCTCCATGCTTGATAGTTTGCTTTACGTGTCTAGGCTGAATCTCCTCAGTGTCTCGAATCCAAGCCCATGTGCAACCATCGGAGTTGAATCGGTTAATTTTAGTCTCATCGGACCATACCACACGTCTCCAGTCATCAATGGTCCAGTTTCTGTGAGCCTTAGCCCACTGAAGACGGTTTGCGACGTTTGCTTTTCGTAACAGAGGCTTTTTTGGCTTTTCAATTGCACCTAATCCAGACAATTTGAAGGCCCTACGAACGGTTTGAGGTGACACACGCTTTTGAATGTTGTTCTCCAAGACCCTTGCGACTTTTACAGCGTTTTCCTGACCACCCCTGTTAATTTGCTGTAGGCAGTATTGTTTTTTCGTCTGACTTAATAGTGAAGGGCGCCCACCTTTATCTTTTTCTCGGTCAATAACGTGTTCGCGAGCAATTCGATTGATGAGAGTGTGACTAATTTGAGTCTCCAAAGCTACCTGACGGTTGCTTTTGCCTGTTGGAAGAAGTGAAATAATATTTTGTAATTGGTCATTCGTAATTTTGCGCATCTGTAACAACTTTTTTGTAGGTGCTTGTAGCCATGCCCAAATTGAGTTTAAAACTTACCTTAAAATGTAGTTAGCTTTAAAACAGCCGAAAATTAATTTTGGCGCGTTTTTATTCGATACATGACCGAGTTGTGTGTCATTTTTAAATATTTTCATTGCCTTCCAAAACTGGAAACATGTACAGGTCAAGTTCAATTGAATACTGTGAGCGCCAAAATGTACGTCTACTTTCCAAAATTATGTGAAAGGTAGTCCATGGGATGTGTATGACCTCCAAAAATTATAAAAGCTTTAGCATTTGTTTTCAAAACATAGTAGTTGCTACATTACAAAATTTGTAAACATGTTTCCAGTTTTGGAAGTCACTGTAAATCAGAAGTTTTTTTCAGACATATCAAATTAGTCCTGTGATGTTTTGTTTCGATGGTTCTTACCTAGATATTGGTTTTTACGCTTATATCCCAAGTGGTATCAGCATTGATAAACTTTTGTTTGCCCAAAAATCGCGGTAGCTTGGGTTAGTTGCCTTTGATCCCAGAATAACTCCACTTTGAATATTATTCGAATTGCACCTGTCACTTGAAGATAAACACAGATGTCTTGGTCGGCCATAAATTATATTATGAATGTTTCAATCACAACAATGCTACATGCGAATAATATGATAATAAAAGTAAGGATAGATTTGTTTACCTCATTTCTTTATCATCAATTATCTGACATTAGCGAGAAACTGATATTATGTCTCTCAACTACATATAATATATATATGGAAAAACACAGCGACAGCCAGCAACGCGGAATTGGTTTTTTATTATCCGGTGAATATCCTCTATGTGTAGTCGTGTCAAACGATATTTACAATTGTTTTGAACAAGATGATTACCAATAGAAGGCGCCCAAAGCAGAAATTTGGTAACCGCTTTTGGTAAATGGTGAAAGGCATTTCTTCATTTAAAGTCAGTAATGCCAGCTACAACCGGTGATTTGGTATAGAGTGCATCTGCTTTTAGCTGGTACGTAAAAAAATATCCAAGCAGAGACAAATAATTAGATGGGTAAAACACATTTCCCTAAGAATTAATATCCCATCTGAAAGGTTAGAATAGTTTTTAATGTTGATTAAAATGACAATCTACATATATCAAATTAAAAAACAATAACAGATTCTGGATTCATCATTTTTTTTAGGTGCGGGTGGGGAAAAATGTCACAACCTCTACGAAATTGATTTTAGGCCAATAATAACCTGCCGCTAATATTGTTAGCCGTGCTCGGAATTTGAAATAACCTAATGTTTGGGCTCACGAATTTAAAAACCACGAACAGACTATTTAGTCGTAAGAAATCGCTTGAAACACGTTCAACCTTTTTTGTGTACTTAGTCGAACTACTTAAATTTTAAAATATACATTAAAACAAATATTCTTAAGATGCGTGACCCTTCTTCAAATTATTATATCTACGGAAACGTTTGAAATATTGATTTCAAGTTGTTTGGAGACAGCCAATGAAATTGCAGCCCGAGGCTCCATACTACTTAGACTGAAACGTTTTCGGAAAAAAATAACATTCCACCCCCCCTACATAAAAAAATCCGGCTATGAATAAATTTCGTTTTATATTACTTGTACTAGTCGGATATGAATGCTCAAAAATATCACAAAACACGTCAGGAACTACTCAAAAGAAGATGTACTCTATGAAGATTTAAACAATGAAGACTCCAAACTCTTTCACTACATGCCGATCTGAAGTGATGGTATCCTTCCAGGGACGAGTAACACAGCAGCTTAAGTTGAACGTTGCTTTTGGTACCGATGTCAGCGGTACCATGAAGATCCAATGCGCTGGCAGGAATATCAACCTTCTCATAAGAAACTATGGTATGTTGTATAACTTAAACAAAGCCAAACACCTGGACGAAGTTGCGGCATATGGTTAGTGCAGTAAGGGGCAAAAAAAAAAATTCCCCAGCGTGGCATTAACTAACTACAATTTTAAAAAGGCACCCAGGTAATCAGACCGTTTATGTCGGGTATCACCAACAAACAACCAAACTATGCACATTCGGTGAATGTCGAAATTATGTGGACAGCAGGCAATACGTATGAGAAGGGTGAGCCTGGGAGTGACATACCATACAAGTACGACCTCCTCCGTTCTGCGTACATGGAGTTTGAAAACTCAGAACGTGTGTTTAGAGGAACCTTAGACCCCAAAATCCTGTATAAGGCCGTTGAAACGCTCCACGCTGTGTTAGGTAATTCATATATAACTGTTTTAAACACAATTTTATTAACATTAATTCATAAAGAACCCAATGATACCATGGTAAAGGAGAGAGAATTTACGGAGGATGATTCGGCCTATATTCGTTCCCGGAGGAGAATCATGGATATTGTAATTAGTGAGAGACCTGCCGACCAAGCCCCTGCCGCCCCCCAGCAGAATCCTCGACGGCAATACCCGCCAAGAAAACCCGGACGTCCTGAACCTAGTTCATCCCAGAAATCCCCTTGCTAAAGTCTGCATTTTTTTTAGTAAGTAGCTTATTATCAATTAGGTAAAAAATTTCACTTCAAAATCTTCCTTTTCTGGCGGTTTTCGATCAAATTCCTTAATTTTTTTTTTTTGAGAAATAGACAAAATACAGCTTCTGTGTTGGGAAAAAAAAATTTAAAATTAGACCGCAGTTTTTATGTCCTTACAAACATGTATTTCAGTTGATATATTCAAAATCATGTATTTTCAGGAATCATTGTTGGATCTTCGATTTAGAATGTTTTTAAAGCAATGCTACTCCGTGTTTAAAGAAAAGTACACCTTTTGTAAAAATAAATGGCACAAACTCCGAAAATAATGGCACACTTTTTTTTTCGATTTGGCACAGTTGAGAATTATGTATGGCACACTAATCCAAATTAAGTTGGCACATATCGTATTTAATGATGGCACACTTTTGAAATTTTTTATAGCACACTTTTCTTTTAATTCAATAACTAAAAAACATGTCTCTCAAAGTCTATTTCGAAGATGGTAGAGGAAATGCCATGGATGAAGATGGCTTAGAACCTGTGCAAATGGAAGTGGATGAGGAAGCGTATCCTCTAGATAATATAACCACTTATGATTCACATCTAGATCTAAAACCACCTGAAAAAAAAATACAAGCAAAAGTTAACAAACTCAACAAAGCTCCCAGTAATCCTAACGGTTCAAACAACAATAAAATACATCGCGGAGATGATGTAAAGGATATGTTTTTTACTACGTCTATGAAAGGGGACTGACTGCTGGAAAAGCGGCAAGTGTTATGAATATCCCTCGTAGAACGGGTTACAATTGGCTTAAAGACGATCAGGATATTCTCGTGGGTAGACTCGAGGGAAAAACGATGATAGTAGTGATGAAAAATTGACTGAGAGAAGAGGTAGAAAGGCAATATTAAACGAAGATCATAAAAAGCACCTTGAGGAAACGTTTGGTGAGAACCCTTCAGCAACGGTCGACCAAGCTATAGATAGTTTGACTAGTCAATTTGAAGGTCTGAAAGTTGGTAAAAAAAAACCGTTCATAACTTCATGGTTAACGAGTGCGCGTTGTCCTTTAAAAAAGCATATTTTTACCCTGCTGAGAGAAATTAAAACGAGAAAATGCAGCAAAGATTCGAGTGGGTAACGAACTGGTCAAAAACAGTTTTGGACTACCAGAGCAATTTCATTTTCATTGATGAGGCGGCTTTTCACGTCAACCTTAAGAGGACGATGGCCTTGGTCAAAAAAAGGGGAGAGAGCCATAGTTGAGATGCCTGTAACGAGGGCTCAAACGACAATCATTTTGGGTGCCATATCACCCCTCGGTGTAATCAATGTGAAAGTAAGAAGACCGTACCAGTTTACCTCAAAAAGAAAAAGTTACAGAGAGCATCATCTAAAGCTTCCGGGTCTTCTGCAATCAAGACAGTAGGCACCGTTACTGGTCATTATTTTAATTTCATCGCCAGTACCCTTGATGTGTTAGATAAACACGAGCAATTTAAAGGCTTCTACATTGTCATGGACAATGTTCCCATCCATAAAAATCTTGATATTCAACGATACATTATTAATTGCGGGTACGGATGCGTTTATCTCCCGCCCTATTCGCCTGAATTGAATCCAATCGAGCAGTTTTCGGTCAGTGGTTAAAAGCAAACTGAAGAAAGAAAAACTCTTGGATAAGGAAACGCTTACTTCGAGAATAACCGACGCTTAAACAGTGTTCTTTTCAGTAATTTACAGGGAATTTTGCCGATATTCTGATTCAAAATGGCAAGTATGTTTTGATAAACTTCCACTTAAATATGGCACACTTTGTGCCAAAATTTTTGTGCCATCAATAAAAAAATTATGTGCTAAACTAATAAAAATTTCTGAGCCAATCAAAAAATTAATGTGTGCCAAATGGGAAAAAAAAAGTGTGCCATTATTTTCGGAGTGTGTGCCATTTATTTTTACAAAAGGTGTATATTTAGTTTCTATAAATTTTGTCATACTTCAAGTGATTAGTTTTATGTATATTTTATTATATTGTTCTTTTTTAAAAACAAGTATTTTTACGTCCATAAAAAAAATTGTCCGAAAACGTCTTTATGATATGAACACTTTATTTTTTTTTCTTAGGTTTTACTATTTGGAACAATATAAATAGGCTATAAATCTAAGCAGTAGATTTAGTTCTCTAGTTGAAATTCTTCTTAACTTTTGTTTATATTCTTTTTATATTTTTTTTGAATAAAACCAAAAGATCGATATGTCATCTTTTAATTCTTTTTCTTTTCTTTTATTTTTTTATATTTTATTATATTGAATTAAGTTGATAAACAGCAGCATTAACAATCAAGATAAGTATGTCAGCTGTTTGGCAAACTATTTGCTTCGTTGGACAGAAAAAGAAAACAAAACAACTGGGCATGACTTTCTTTATCATCAAGATAAAGCTACTAGTCATACAGGTAGCTACAAAGAAAGAACACGGATTGATGGTTTCGACTTCTGGCCACCCAATAGCCTTGATCTCAATCCCGTTGAATGTGTATGGGCACACCTGAAAAGAAGGGTATATGATCGTGTAAACCACATTATCTCTATGGAATGGCTTGAGGCCGTTATAAAAAACCGAATGGTCAAAGATCGGTGCTATACAGAATCAAGTCTGTCATAGACGCGAGTGGACACACCACCCATTATTTGATGTTCATACTTTCTTTTTTAATTTTTAATAACAAATAGCTCGAAACTCTCTACCATTGTTATGGGATACACTTTTTATAAGAGAATAACTTTGTAGGAAGGTTTATATATTAACTACAGTGCTTAAAATTATTTTTTTAAAATGGAACGGAGTTTTATTGTGGTAAACGTTCATAAATGTTTTTTTGCCATATTTCTGTACATTTGTTTATGGAGATTTCGGTTGGGTTGAGGTTAAGATGGTGCCACTCTTTAGGATGTATAACATTGTCGTTTACTGCTCTTTGGTTTAGATAAAATGAAATGCAATGCTTCTTGGGATAAAGACTTTCGTTTACAGGAATCTGGAATGCTGGTATCGCAAGTGAATGTAAGGCAATGCTCATCGAAGATATTCAATATAGACAAGATTTCGTCAAAATATACAACAAATCCTTGAAGTGATTCTTTTGATGATGTTGCTTTTATGCTGTACAAGTCAAACATGATCTACATTCCATTAGCAACGAGTTTTCTAACGAAGAAATTGATTGTTAAGCCTAAAATAATGTTTAGATGCAAGTGTCAAGTATTTATTTAAATTCCAACTTCTTACTGTTTAATACTTGCATATTACTTGTATTCCAAAGCAACCGTTTGCATTTGATCGAATAATAGCATTTTTAGTGAGTAATCCAAGTCGAACAAGGTCGTTTTCATATTGCGGACTTATCATTTCCTTTTTTTACGCTTTTAACTTCAACAAATCCTAAGGATGGTTCATAATAGAGTCCATCTAAGCTGTTGATTTTACTGTCGGGACGCTATTATGTTATAAATCCGTTTTTTGACTCTTCATTTGTAACACTCGTTCTATTTATAAACATTGAATATAATGAATATCATTAGAATAACAAACCAATCGAGTACACATACCATCTAAACAAAATGCTTTTATTTGGATCTGACATAAACCACTTGGTCAATACCTTACTGCCTATGCGCATACATCCACCCGCGCATAGATCTGCATGTATATGCAGATCATATGTGACAGCTCATGTGACCAGACCATCAGACAACACCATGAGACCGATCACGAGTCATCACCTGGGGCAAGGCCTCAAGACCAAACCAGCATACACCACCACCCTCGTCCCATGATTCCGCCCCAGTACCTCGCCTCAAGACCTTTCGCAAGGCCTTAACTCCATACCCTCCATATTAAGAAGATAGTTCTTAAGACTATCTTCCTTTTGTTATAAATACCTTAGCTTATTTAGACAAGTAAAGATCATTATCTGATATCTTTTATACCTTATTATTATTACAAACCTTTAGATTTACTACCTTTTCTTGTGTGTCTTCTCCCAACCATATAGTCCTACCTTGTACATAGCCTTGCCTTGTAAGTATAAAGAGACCTGTCCTCGTACCTAGTAACATTCGGCTAATTCCTGACAGTATCGGACCCTGTCACAACATTTGGACTCTTTGCTTCGCGATCACCCTCATAGCTATTGTGGTTAAATAGAAGAATTGTTATGACAATACATTATGGTGAAATTACACATGGCTAAAAGTCGAAGATATTTGAAAATAACAGCCGCTCCGGGCAATTTTTAGCGTTTATAAATCGACCATTCAACCCACCGGTCAAAAAAAAGACCCGTCAAACCTCCGGTCCACAAATTAATAACGACCGGTCAAGCCTCCGGTCCACAAATAAATAACGACCGGTCAACCCGCCGGTCGACAATTAAAACACGATCACACAATTTACCGGCAGACATCAGAAATCCTTTTCATCTTTTAAACGTCTCAAGTCATTAAAAATTCTAGTAAAGCGGATGGCTAAAAGTTGTGATCCAAACCGTTGTTCTGAACAAAAAATAGGAGAACTTTCTTCTGGACCGGTCAGTAGCAATAATTCACTGCAACGAAAGTAAGTGCAAATGGTAAAATATCAGTGATAAGTACCAGAGTTACGTCAGGTACGTTTTCCATAGTGAAACATTTATGATACTGTTTACCAGTTATTATAAACTATGGAAATCGTAATTTACGTTTTATACAGATGTTTAATGGCGTTTGGAGGCTTTGTTTAGAGTCCGAAATTTTCTAGTTTGCACCAGTTTTTCGCTACTTCAAACAAAGCTCGAAGAACATTTTTGTAATCGAGCATACGCCAAATTTTTGGGATTTGAGCGAACTTCGAAATAACTTCTACCGATGGTCAATCGGTTATAGAATCGTGATAGGTTATTTTAAATTCCGTGTTGCAAAAAAACGCGTATTAGCATTTTTTGTTAACACTACTCTTCAATTGAATATTGTTTTTGGCTCTTTCGTTTTAGATTTCAATGTTCTCGATGCACCATCGAATGTAGATTAAAAAACGTACCCGAACAATCTAGTATTCTCGAATAATTGATCCATATATTTTTACTGAACTGGATGAAACCTAAACATTTCTACCGATTGATTCTAGTAGAGACCATTTGGGAGCTTTTGATGGTTATTTATGATCCCTTGCGTTTATGCTGGAATAAATGTATTAACGAGTACGCTGATTTCCTGGTTATCATATATAATTTGGCAGTTCTCAATTTTATTATTATTAATTTAAGTTTGACGTCTGTCGTGTTTTGGTACGATTTACTTAAGAATTATTATGCAAGTCGTTTAAATAAATGAATTATGAAACTAAAGCAACATTTGATGTTACATGTCATCATATGATTGTATACTGGTAGCTAACCTCTCCTACTACGAATAAATACTTGTATATTAAAGATTGCATGATTAGCCTAAATAAGATATACGAATTACAGTTGGATACAGATTTCTATGTCACCGATCGATAAGAAAATTATCTCAGATCAAATCAAGATTTAAAAAAAGATAAACTTAATATTAATAGTTCTCTCAATGGATTATCTACCCTGAGAGAGAATATAATAGCTATTATTATAAATTGACTATTTATGTATATACTGATAACATTATACTGCTGATAAAGAGTATAAACAAATAAGATATAAGTTAAAGAATACAGCAGCGTATACAGATATCGATAAGACATTTTATGTTTTGAATCGTATATTATTCATTTCAAAGATACTGAATAGATAATCGACTATACCTATTTTGTTTTACTGCACTTGCCAAACAAGTATGCGTAGTGTACAATATCAATTGCATGATCTGATAAATAGGTGTCTCTTAACATTAAACATTTATTTGATTACCCACGCTCCAGATCCAGCGATATGGACAACGTTAACTTAAGACAATTCGAACGAGATTTTGCGATGAACAACGTACTTTACATTTTGTCGCCGACTCTGCATCCACGGCTACTCGAAAGTTCTGGAATCCCCCGCTGATACTCAACACCAGCAATGTCTTAAACCTACAAGGAGCTTCCAAGACTATCCATTGCAATGAACACCGGCTTTCAAGAGATTAGTAATCACAACACCCATCCAAGTATCTCGAACGCCAAGTAATTACTAATCTTGAATCATGGGTTTCGGCGACGTGAGTTGAAACCAGGATTAAAACTAATTAAGTAGACCAAGACATTATTTAATGAAACGCATCTTATCTGAAAAGATATAATCACTCCTCTTTCCCTCGCCTTCCACGTTCAATGCACATCATCTTGTATCCCTCCACCTTCCTCGTATGATCATTTATTATTACTACATGCTTTATAAATCACTCTTTCTTTGTCTTTGCATAATTACTAGGTATCTTCTGATATTATAACTATAATATGTTCCTTGCCACGTTCCTTACAGTAATCCTCATTTAATCTAAAGCGGGAAAAAAAAAGTCTCGATCTATTCCAAAAACAAAAAAAATGACTCATCATTAAAACTCAGGGAGTTGCGCAACTTAAGAAGAATTAATTATTTGTAGCGGCAGAGTTCTTGTAGTCTATTTTTATTTCGAATAAGGTATACTTTTATCGAATTACTTTTCAATTGTATCAATTTTGCCAGATACCAAGACATGAAGTTATACTTTACTATTCTAAAACTTGTTGTGGTGATCCACCTACTGTTGTTACTAATCACACCATAAAACAATATTAAAATTAAATCTCACTTCATCACCCCATACATTATTACATCACAACACGAACTATTTTCTTATACATTATATCATATCCAACTACAAGCACTATTTTAGTGTTGTGTAACTTATCCATCAAACTAAATTCATAATCCGATTTCTCTTAACATATATAAACATGCAAACTGATAGTTAGAATAGAACCCTCACAATCTTTTAATCTACTTTTTACTCTTAATAAAACTTATAAGCAGTCTCAAAGTACTTTATTGTTTTTCTCTTTTAAAATCTATTCTCAACTATCACACTTAGTTTACACTGTTTAGTTATGGTTAACGAGGATTGATGAATATAATTGTCGTAACAAATCAATTACTTCTGATTCGATAAAAATGTATACTGTACGTTATACATGAAAAGTAATAATACCATAGGTTCGATTATAATTATTTGCTACTTTATTCAACTGAAGTATTAACAATGAAATAATCGGGTCTATTTATACTCTTTTTAGGTGACGGCTAATAAAATTGCTAATCTAAACATTTATCTTGATTGTCGAATTCTACAAGAGCTGTAGTACAGTATAAGTTATTTTTGTTTTCTGTAATTAAATATTTCATAGAATTTCTTCTGGAAAACCATAAGCCTTTACAGGATCTCTCATCTTAGGGATTCCAGTGGGACTCGATTTTTAGCGGGAAACAATATATGACTCATTTATCAATAGAAACAAGGCAATTTTATTAGCTGTCCTTAACACAAACGGAGATTAAACTTAGTGGCGTGTCATAGTCAAATCTCAAATCACCAAGCCCTACGTATACGCCCACCTTTAATTTTTTGAAAAGCGACTAGCTTTGATGTCCTACAACTTTTTTTTTGCAGTAAAAGTAGTCTTTTATTCATAAAATATTGTTTATAAAGACTCTTTAAATAATATCTTTTGATTCGCATTGGTATATCGGTCGATTTGGGAAAGTTTTAGGCAATTAAAAAATCCAAAAAAAAATCGCTATTTAAAACTGGAGGCACGTTAGTAGAGAGTAAAACATTTAGCACAGCGCAGCGATTGTCAACCATTTTGCCGAAACGGAGGTTTGGTTTGAAAAAGATTCGTCTATCTAAAAAATGTTACCTTGACTATTAAAAATGTCACTATGTAACTAGGGTAATGATTTAATTTGCACATTATATGACTACTGTAGCCATTCATTTTTAAATGACATATTGATAAAGACATTCTTGAGCTACACATTTATGATATTCATATATATCGCTCGCAATAATTCATTCTGTGAAGCACAATGACAACAAAATAAAATCCGCGACCGACAGTGGGAAGGTGAATTCCTTGGATTCCTGCATGTCTTGTTCGCTTACCTCATTATTACCTGCTGTAGCCATTGTCTACATCGGAAACAGTGGTGGCGGCTGCGGAAGCAATGTTGTTGTCGTTGTTGATGTTACTATTCATTTTTTATTTGATAGTTAATGTAGATATCTTTCCTTGTTTGAAAAAAAATCTGACTTATATACAAAATAAAATGGTATATTTTGACGTATACGACCGTATGTTGATCTCTTCAAAAAAAGGAGAAAACTCATGGTTCTTGGTAAAGAGGTGCTACTCCTTTATCTCCTATAATATACATTAACGCATGTATAGAAACGGTCACTTTTTATTAATACGCATCATTCAACCACAGACACCATAAAACTTAAATCCCTCTCCTTTTTTTAAAATTCCAAAAGTAGTATAGATTTTGTTCCGTTGGATCTTAAGATGGAACGCCACTTTTTTTTTTTTTTTTTTTTTTTTTTTTTTTTTTTTTGGACAGAACATGTTATCGTCAACTATCTTGTTTCTCCCTTGTGCATTCCAAGAACAGACATTTACAACTCTCTTTCAAACCCCCCACCACAACCACCACTACAATTTATGTGATCGACTGGGCACAAACATCTAGGAACATGTAGTCCCCAAAAGACTACTGGAAAATCATGTTTTTAGACACGTAAAGCTAGATGGCGTCATCTAGAACAAATGCTGTTTTATTCGTATTTCGTTACGAGATATGTTGATACGCTAAACTAGATGGATATCCCAAAATGGATACATTGTGTTATACTTTTTTTTTGGCGTTAGTTGATATGTTCAATTACTTGTGTTTTTTTGGTAAACGATCATATACTGTTTCACTAATCGTAAAAAATAAAAGTGCCTTTTGAGCGCATCAATTTATTTCTCATTGTTACATCACTACAATCTTCTTTTCTTTTAAAATGTCACTTTATTATTCATCTTTTCAACATCATACTCTTGTTTTTTATGTAACGTAAGACTTTTCCACTCATCGTTTCAACATCACACTCATCGTTCTAGCATGACACTCTTGTATTTTAAAAACATCACTTTATTATCCATCATTTTAACACGACCATCTTGTCTTTATATAAAAATACTTTATCATCCAACGTGTCCACATGTAGCTCTTGTAGTTGAGGTGTCTGCCTATCTCGTTCATTCCTTCAACAGAGCATTGTTGTCTTTATAAAATATCACTTTAACATCCATCACTAAAACAGGGCTTTGTTGTATCGTGTCACGCTCATAATAAAATTGAATCATGGATAATCAGAGTCAACCACAGCACTGTCACTGTTGGGTGTTATACACTTGTTGAAATGGATGGCATTCGTATGCTTAAAGTTGTATCACTTGGCTGACCTTTATTCCATCTCGTATCGTATCGTCTATTTTTTCTCATTGTATCATGATCAAGTTGATTACAGTGAAAGGTGTTTTTTTGCTGTAAGCTGAATCCGATACGTTCACTCGTTTCTTTCTCTTTCAAATACATTCAACTCGTATACATGTCTGTTACAAGACGTCCTGTTGCCTTTGTAAAAAGGACCTTTAAACGTTTTGTTTTGTTTTGTTAGTACATAAAATAAAAAAAAAAAAAAAAAAAAAAACGCATGCCTACCTTGCCATTACGCCAAACAAGTGTTAACAGAAAATGTTGAGGTCAAAACAAACGTACAGTGAGTGGAGAAAACTGTTCGAGTGTTTAGAAAGTTTCAGTCCCATCTTTGTCAACAATGTGTAAACTACTCTAAATAATTTCATATTTTGACAGATATCAGTGCACGCGTTGTTACACCAGCAATAACGTTTTTGGATTTTTTGTATCACAAGAACAGGGGATATTCTGTGTTTAAAACTGCTTATCACTCGAATAGTTATGTCCAATGCTGAAATTGTTTAGAAAACCATAAAAATCTTTCGAAAAAACATTCATATAAGCCCCAAAAAAAATTTTCAGACAGGTTTTGGTGGCTAGTCCACATGTTATTTTTTTCTCTTTATTTACGTAATATAAGACGTCACTCATTAAGAAGACAAAAAGCATTTCTTTGACATCAAAAAAAGAGATCATTAAATTACTAAACGACCGGCTTTCTTTTCGAGGAATTACAAAAAAAGTGTCTGTTAGTTTGTCAACCATTGCAAAGATAAAAAATCAAGCTAATCTTGACATTCACAAAAAAATTGGTGGAGCACCTCGCAAGATTTCAACATCAACAGGCCGCTTATTGATTAGAGGCTTCAAAACAAATGTGAAAAAGACTGTCAAGGATGCTGTCGAGGCTCTAAAAAAGGAAGAATTTTTTGTCTGCGGAAGGACTGTTCGCTGCATGTTGAATTCAGCCGGGATGAAAGCTGAACATAAGCCTAAAGTACTGCCATTAACACCAAGTCGTAAAAAAGCGAGACTTTCTTGGGCCAAGGTCCACCAAAACTGGACTGTTGATGATTGGAAGAATGTTGTTTTTAGTGACGAAACGAAAATAAACCGTATTGGCTCTGACGGGGCTCAGTTGTTTTGGAATGCCACAGACGAAGAGATCCGAGATTGTCATCTCCAACATTTGTACAAGCATGGCGGTGGAAACATAATGTTGTGGGGTTTTTTTCACTGGGAAGGTCCTGGATACATTGTTCGTATTGATAGTACAATAGACAGCATGTTATACTGTGATATTTTGAGCGACGATCTAACGACCAGTGTTAGTTACTACAATCGAAATATCAAGGATGTCGTATTTCAGCAGGATAATGACCCAAAACATACCTCCAAAATGGCAACAAACTGGTTTCAAAACAATGACGTATGCGTGTTAAATTCGCCCTCATATTTCCCAGATCCAAATCCGATCGAGAATCTCTGGGCGATAATAAAAAAACGACTTAGCGCCTACGAAACGGCCCCAAAAAGCTTAACCGAGTTATTCGACCGGATCACCCAGGAATGGGACAAAATTACCCGAAAGTTGGGTCAAGACCTTATAACATCTATGCAAAAAAGGATTAAAGCGGTTATCAAGGCCAAAGGAGGAAGAACCGAATATTAGTCGTAAAATTTTCCATTGGACAAATCTGTTCGAGTGTCTATAAAACTTTATGTAATTTTTGTTACACCAAAAATGGGACTGAGTTTAAATAAAACCAATTTTTATTTGTAATAGTCAATTTACTATTTTACATAATTTTGGCCGATTTTTTGTATACTATTATGATATCGAAATAAGAGGAAATGTAGCTTTTTAAAAACACTCGAACAGTTTTGTCCACTCACTGTATACTCCTGAGAACATGAGTAAAGAATACATGAATAAATACAACCGGAGATAACGTGCGCACCATCGGCTTGGTTTTACGTAGCCTTTCTATTCTCGTGACACATTCCCGAGCTGTAACAACAACCAAAAAGTAAGCCTAATTGAAACGTAAATAATTAGGACTTACTGACACCAATGAACAAGTAGAGAACTCAACGAATAACCCAGTGTCTACAGACTACTCTTTTATCCCATGAACTGAATTGTTGCTCCTTTTTTCTGCTCCATGTCGTGAAGTGTCCTCGATTGATTATTCGGGTGTTGAATGATGCGTCGAAAAACTGATTACTCTTCGTTATATATTACCAGTTACAGAGAGTCGTTTTACTATCTGTATAAAAGAGTCAGCTACCTATTGCATTGGAAAGTGTGTTGTAGGTTTATAAAAAAAATGGAAAAACAGGTTAAAAAACATTGTTTTTAAACATTCCTAAATAATCACCGGAGCTTCCGAGCTTTCGTGTACCATGACAAGACGTAAACATATAGTTTAATCAGAAAAAAAAAGATATACGTGTTGCAATTAGAACAATAACCAACTGTTTATAATAAAGAAGACAGCTCTTTATAATAATAACCGCACAGATAAATTACATTTATTATACACTATAAAAAAAAATGCTTATTCCAATCCAAAAAAAAATATTATAAACTATGCTTATTCTAATTCAAAAAAAAAAAGACAAATTTATTATCAAAAAAAAAAAGGAACTGTATATATAAATAAAAAAAAGCCCCCAACAAGAAAAAAAGACAAAGAACTATGGTCGACATGCAGCGTGGATGATGGCAAAGACCAACTTGCCCTTAACTACCACAAACTTGCCATCGGGCCCGATATATGGCATCATTCTAAATGCTGCAAAGAAGGTCCGCTCGAGTAGCTGATAGAAGTCGGTAGCTTCCTTATCCCGCCCACCTTCAATAATATTCGCCATATAAAACATGTAGGCCGTCCAGATGTCCATCTTCCTGAAAGGGCTACGCGGCCTACCCTCCACCATCTCGTTGGCCATAACCTTTAGGTGATTATCTGGACGGCGAAAGACCAAACGAAAGTAACGGAAGCATGTATCAGGCTTTGAGTTCCTTGTTACCATCAGAACATGGCCTTTGCTGTCTCTTCGGGCCAGATCGAACATTGAGTACGTGTCCTGAAAGTGTCTCAACTGCACCAGTCGTACACGTACGTACTTGTTGCTGGTCGACAACATGGACCACACATCCGAGACATAAAACCTTAAGACGCCGTTCACCACATCTTGGTTTAATGGCGCTACCGAATGAAAAACATTGAGTCTTTGCAAGACAGCTTGACTCAGTCGACGATAATCGGCATGACCCAACACAATGTCAGCAGGAGTGCTGCGTCGGCGCGAGATAACGCTCTCACTACGCTCTGTCTCTGTCTCCGATGTTGGCTCACCGTCAGTCTGAAAAGCAGGAACGGGCTATTTGAATGGCAGTGGAATGAAAGGAGCAATAGATTCAGTAGGTTGTCTTTTGGAAGCGGATGACTCTGTAGATGGAGATCTTCTTTTTCTTGATTCTTGTTGGGGGCTTACTTCTCTTGAGGGTCCAGTCGATGTAGCTCTTGATTGGCCATCATTACCAAGTGGTAAATGACCCTTGTTAGATGCAACTGGACTAACACCAGAAGGACGTGCAGTAGTATCAGCAGCAACATCAGGTGTAGCACCGCGAGGAGCAACAGGAGACTTGGCTGGTGAAGCAACTCCAGTAGAAGGAGCTCTAATCACATACTTTTCAGCAGCAGGACCACCAACAGGTGACTTTGGTGCAATATCCGTACCAGAGGGTGCATCTGCAGAAGTAAGTGGCATAGATTCCATAGGTGGCATAGATTCCATAGGTGCCATAGATTCCATAGGTGCCATAGATTCCATAGGTGCCATAGATTCCATAGGTGCCATAGGTTCCTTAGGTGGCATAGGCTCCTTAGGTCGCATAGGCTCATCTGTCTTGGGAGCTGCAACTGGCATAGGTGGCATAGGTGGCATAGATGGCATAGATGGCATAGATGGCATAGGTTCAGTTGATTTGGGAGCTTCAACCGACTTGGGAGGTTCAGCTGGCATAGGTTCAGTTGCTTCAGGAGCTGCAACTGGCATAGGTGGCATAGGTGGCATAGGTTCAGTTGTTTTGGGGACTTCAACTGGCATAGGTCCAACTGACTTGGGAGGTTCAACTGATTTGGGAGCTACAGCTGGCACAGTTGTCCCAGTAGTTGGCTTGGTTGGGCTTGGCTTCGTAGACTTGGACTGCTTTGTAGACATGGATTGCTTCGTAGAGTCGGTTGGCTTAGTGGACTTGGATAGCTTAGTAGTCTTGGATAGCTTAATAGTCTTGGATAGCTTAGTAGTCTTGGATAGCTTAGTAGACTTGCATAGCTTAGTAGACTTGGCCTTTCCTGTCTCAACCGGCGTGGGTGGCAAATCCGTGCTGGTAGACTCCTCAGGTGTGGGCTCCCTGGAAGTGGCAGGTTTTGCTAGGAAAAACAATTTAGGTAAATCAATTGGAAAGCCGGGCTTTTTCAAGACTGGTGTCTTGGTTCCTGATGGTTGCGCTGTCTTGGTAGCTGGAGTCTTGCTCTTTATGCTTAACACTGGCTTGACTCTTTTGACCAAAGATCGCTCACCCTGCTTGCTTACCAATCCCGTAGCTGAATCATCCTTGGTTGATCTCTTCTTTTGTAAATGCGAAGGCTGATACGGGGGTGGAGTCCCAGCATCACCAGGATGTTTCGAACTAATTTTTCCCGTAACTTGATGAGCATACAATTCACGTCCTTTACAACCATGAAATAGCGTACGCCATACAGAAGGTAATCCAATGTCTAATCTAAGAAGACGCTCACCAATAGGCAAGCCTTTCTTTGATCACTTCGATCTACCACTGGACGTTTCATCTTCACAAATAGCCTTTTCCCTTTCATGGCTGGTCTCGTAACCTCCACCAGTAGGCCTGTCGCCTTCACTGGAACCACCATTATTGGAACCTACGCGACGACCGGGAGAATCGGTGCCGGTAGATCTTTGACGAGCGGCTCTTTCACTGGTTGCAAATAACTGAATAGTAGCACCTGAAATCACTACATCATAAAAGTGGCGATATTCAAAGTCCTCGGGTTAGCATTATGTCTGAGAACATTTTGCAAGATTCCAACAACTTGTCCTTCATTTTTGGACTGTGTTTGGGCATAAATCATATGTACAACAATAAATAAAATGGTTAGATAATTATTAAAAAGACATTCATTTATACATACCCGCACTTTCTTGGCCTCTTCCTTTGGAATAACATGTTGCTTGAACCTGGAGTTGAAGGAAATTTCTGTCGAAATCAAAAAAAAAGAAAATATTGATCGCACTTTTTCAGGCAACATACAATAATTATCGTAATACCTTGCGCGAATGACATTTTAGTAAAATGATTTAGCTTTTTTTAAAAAAAAGGGTACTTATAAAAGGATAATAATAAAGAGCACAAAAGACTCGCTAACGCCGCAATGCTTATATACCACTTGTGCACAAACAATCAATTTCATTTATTTTCAATATAGGCATTTCGCATGATTTTTTTTTTACTCCGTATAACTTCCAAAAAAAAAAAAAAAAAAAAGATCGTGCGTAGTGAGGATAAAAAAAGTACCTCCTTTTGTAAAGTGCATAGGTTTTACCTTATTACGCACCGATTTGTTTTAAAAAAGACAAATTATAATACATGGAGTAAAGAGTTCCGCCTTTAAAAAATATGTGGGGAAAGAGAGGACACTTTGTCTCTTATTGGACATCTTGTGCAAAACAATTATGTCGCCAAATAAACACCATTGCAAAAGCAGTAAAGACACAAAAGTGTCATCGTGTTAGATATGTCAAATTACAAACATTAATGCATCACTTTTCGCAATAATGTGCAACAAACAAACTGATTTTGTTTTGTTGTTGTATGTGTAACCCCTATTTTTTTTATTTTTTTTTTTACTTTGTTCATAAGACTTTTTCAATATTACTTGTTTTAGACTATTGCAACAAGTACCATAAAATAATGGTCTCACTCTTGCACAAGACTTGTTCTTCTGTTACAGAAATGTTGTCCATGAACAAAAAAAACTAATGTCAGAACGTCGCAATCCGTAGTTATTTCTCCCGCATATTAAATGCCTTGAACTAGGAGTAAACGCTGCGGGTAACAATTTGCTCTGAACCAGTTTTACACCATATTATGATTATTACGGAGATTACTTTTCCCAAAAAAACAATCTCTTCGTTCTGAATTTTAGCGTCCGTTAACTTTTAAATGGCGTCATGTAGAAAATGTTGTAGCATCATTGATATGTAGCTCCTTTTTTTTTTTTTAGTAATGACGATACTCCAAATATTACGCCATTACTTTAATAAATGTATATAAAAGGAGGTGCTTCTTTTAAGGAGTGGGGTTTTTCTTTTATCTTACTGCTGTCATTCATTCTCCATTTTTTTTTTAGTTTGTACAGTGCATCTATTTTATAATAAACAATTTTTGGCTCCGATTTCCAGAAAAAAAGAGAAACGCTATCTCCTTGATGAATTTAACATGTATAAACAATTTGGCTCTATTATGTTCTTTATTAGAGAGTTCTTCATAAACTAATAGAACCGGATTTTTTTTTTCACAAAAAACTTTTTACAGAGGGCAAAACAAAATTCACCTTATACAATGGGTAGACCCAAAGACGTCCGGGAGGTAATACACAGTGCAAAAAAGTCTTAAAACTCTATCAGATATATCCCGATTAAACGTTTTCCCGCGATTAATTAGATTCATCTGCCAAGAAATACGAAAATAACCAGTGTAATAATCGAACGTTTAAGTTTTCAAAATGTCCGTTTTAACAAAAATTGTAAAATATAAAATAGATGCACTGTATAGCTATTCTTAGACTCTTTTTACGTTTGCAAGCCAAAACCAGTAAACATTTGGGGAATAATATACCTAATGGTGATGCGTCGGTGAAAAAAAAAAGTTTATTTTTTATACAACTAATTCCTGTAGTCTGTCTTGCTCGATGTAATCATAAAGAGACACCATACGTTCAGTTTCAAACTGCCCCAGTGGTTTGACAAATTCGGCATTGAAAAGGTAACAAATGTCTTGAGCGTGGTTCTTCACGTATTGTGAGAAAACACTTTTGACTCGAAATAGATAGTAATTAAGTACCTTTCAAAGTACGATGGTTACAGCATTCTTAAAAATAAGTATAAATAACCTCTCCTTTGTTTTTTTAATAAACTTCAGACATACTTTATTCTCACAAAACTTACCACAACCGAGCAATACCTGCTCTTACTTCCTTTTCTTTTTTCTTTATTTCTTTATTTCTTTATTTTTTTATTCTTTCTTTTTTTCTTTATATTTTTCTTTCTTTCTTTCTTTCTTTCTTTCTTTTTTCTTTTCTTCTTCTTTTTTTAAAAAGACTTACTTGAAAACATCTTAACTTATAAGAACCATTCAGTAAATCAGGATATCCTGCCCAGTAAAGAACTTTCTTTTTGAATAGTTAGATACGTACTTTAAACAGTTTCAATAAAAACTGTCCTATATCTTCTTTCTCTTTTGTATAAATATATAGGAAAACATCCTTATCGGGAACCATTCTATCTATTTCAGACCTTGTGTGAACAACTTCTATTATTTATCATAATCAGAAATAGTAAACACTTTACACGGTCAAACAAAATCATTTACTTTTATTAAAATTAGTTACGAAACATCCTTAACCGGACCCATCATAACGTAATTAAGACCGTGTATAGTGAAACAACTCTCTTTTGAAGTACCATTACATACTTAAAACAATCTTCTTGTTAATTTAATAACACATACTAGATAATCATTGATTCTTTTACGAAACCTGGATTGTCCTTTTCTCTTCCCCTTAATAACTACACGATAACAGAGGTCTAATCAAAACCTATTAATTGATTTAGTGCTCACTCTAACGTCAATCAACCCACGTCGTTTATTAAACTCAACGGAACATTCATTTTATAATAGTATGTCACATAATGACCAACAGTACCATGTATATACACTACAAAGGCATACATTACAAATATTCCTTTCTAAAAACCAAGGTCCATCTCTTCGACAACTTCAATGAGATCTTGAACAAAGAAAATTATCTATCGCGTACACTCTTTCAAAAAAAACATGAATACTATTAACCTGGGTTTCAAAGAGAAACACAGGAGGCAAACGTATGATGCGATCATTTAAAAAATGATTTTGAACAGCGTCATGAAACATTCTATCATGCAAATTGTCGCCATACTCTATCTGATCAGCAATACCCCATCGTTCCGTATGATAAAATATTTTGAAAAGATCCATCAAACCATTCGAATTATTTGTATTGACTTGCGCTACGTGCCTCTCTTGCTCAATTCTTTTTTCTTATCAATTTTCTTGTATTACTTTATTTTCCTTTTTCTTCTTCCTTTATTATTTTTGTTTACAACTAGAAGTCATCCTCACAGAAACGTTCAGTTATACTAGTAATCTTATACCGTAACCTTCTGTAATAATAAACACACATATTTAAACCAGTCACTACAAAATCTCTTTAAAACTACAGTCGTCGCTCAATTTAAGGGTGAGCAAAAGTTTCGGAAATCTCACCCTTAAATAGAAGATACCCTTAAATCGAAAAGCGTGAATATTTTAAACAGACGTCACCAATCCAGTTTTAACCGCGAAATATAATCATTAGTGCGAAATATATTTATTTTTATTCGAAGATTCATTAAATTTGATCAAAAAGTTAACTTAACGTATCCTAAAGATAAATCATGCGAAATACCTACATTGGAAACTGAAGTGATTCATTGTTTTTAAGAAATTCGAGAGATATAGCAACGAATTAATATATAAAAATAATAGGAATTAGGAATTGTAAAAAACCGTCACAAAGTTACGAATTTTTTGAGGGGGTGCGGGGGGCTTGGGGGGAGGGGGAACCCCTCTACCCAAGAATACGGCCCATAATATTTATCATTAAATGTTACCTTCTGAAAAACTATGGTCCATTTTTTTTTATGGTGTAATATTTCTGAGCCAAGATACAAAGTTAGATGATGGAAAAACCCCTACGAATAGGACCCATAATACTTTCATTAAACTGAAAAAAAGAGTTGATATAAAAATGGATTAATTTGAAGAAAGTCATAATATAAAAATTGATTAATTTAGAGAAAGTCAGAATATAAAAAGTGACTTTTACAAAAAGTCATTGCAAAAAAAAAGATTGTTACTATAGAGGTTTCCCTTCGCCCCAGTATAACAACCAATAGCATTAGGCATTTGATTATCGAGGTTAGAGAAAAGTCTATGAACACTTTTCTCACAAACAATATGTCATTACTCGAGAATAACTAAAAAATTGTTTGTTTCAGGTCCATAAATGGGTCGCCTTTGAAATTAATATTTTGGATTATCAAGTCTTTCATTATTGTGTTTAAACATTGCCCATACAATAGTTAATCAGATGTATAAACAATTAATACTTTTGCGTATATCAACTTTCTTGCGTGGGTCAAGGATATCGTCTTTTTTCCAAATATTTATACATGCATTGAGAAACATCAAACTTTTCTCCAGTATCCAACTGATAATAGGCAGTGTAGCTTAAGCATTAACTTCATGGTTTATGTATTTAAGTTTTTCTAATTCAAAAACAGGCCTGCGGCAGCACGAGGCTTTTTCAAAGCGCAGCTTACCGAACCATAGTGCAGGTCAAAAATTTTACCGAAACGGAGGTTTGGTTTGAAAAAGCCTCGTTAAGAATAAAAATAAAAAATTTGACGAAGTCAAATTATCAAACTGCAAAAAAAAACTAAAGTCTTTATTATACATTAAATTGGGTTCTTTATATATATATTCAGGGCTGGTTGAATATCAATCATTAAAGTGAAACCTGTCAGATATACAATAGGCGTTTTGTCAATTAAAGATCGAGCTTCTCATGGTAACTTCGAGAATCGTGTTATTGACGAGCGATCATATCATTGGATTGTATTATCTTAAATAAATGTATGACTATTGGTTTCTTTATATTGATGAGTAATCAATGCGTAGTAAATAGAGTATAATAGCATGTATTTGATTTAAAGAGTAATGCAATAATGATTTATAGAAAGGTTACATATCAAATAAGAAAGAAAGAATTGATGATAGAGTTATATCTGTATATAAGCTCGATCACAACATTTTTACAATCGGTATAAAAGAAATTGAATTGGATTACCTTAATTCGGTTCTTTAATATTATTCTTGAATAAATCCTGTTCTTTTTTTAAAAAAAAACCAATTTACTACAATGCCATTCAATAGTGGTAAGGCCTTTTTTTTTAAATTGGAAAGAATGAAATATGCATCCTAAT